CTGTAAGAAACAAATTCTGTGGCCCTACCACAGGCCTATGGGATCAGACACCCCTGTAGTCTCTATATTGCCAAGCTCTCTGGGTGATTCTGATGCATGTTGAAATTTGAGTACAACTGCACTCACCTATACTGTCTTCTGGTCACATATTCACACAAAGGATTTGGGGGATAACGAGCTTTGGTGATATCTCACATTCATTTTCTTCCTCTTGCTCACTCTCCTCTATCCTCCCAGTCTCTTTGTTCTTGTAGATTTATACCTTTTTGTCGTTTTTTTTGTTGTTATCCAAGAGAAGACAAAATATGTCTTCAACTAGACATTTTTTAATGTGATGTTCAAGAATCTTCACAAGTAAACACCCTTTCTGTGAAGAAGAGTGAGCCCTCTTGTTAAACCCTCGAGGGGCCTTCTGCCCTGCTCCCCCTCTCTAATCCTTGCTACCTGGGTGAGAGTGCTGTTGGAATGCAATGCACCTGGGCAAGGATTCTGAGAGTGAGAGCTTCATCTTCATTTAGGACAGAGCACCTTTCCATCCTCTATCTCTTCCACAAATATTTACGGGTTGCCTCTTTTATATATGCTACTAAATTGTGCAATGAACATATAGTAGTAAATAAGACATGCCTGGTTCCTGCCCTCATATTGCTTACAGTCAAGGGAGAAGAATGGAATTCCTCATTAGCCATTGCACTTACATGCCCCAAAGGTGGATGGGTCACAGTAGACTTCTTATTGCCACTGTCACCCACAAATACACAAAATCATGAATCTTCTCTGATCTCACACAGAACTATACAGGAGGGAACATTCTCTGCCTCTGTACAATCACTCATAAATGACACTATACATGAGAACAAGAATCTGTCATAGCTGCATGTGTGCACACACACACATGAAGGACAGGTGCCTGAGCCTTGTCTGCTCTCCCTCTCAAATCCTTGGAACCTAGGTGTGAGTGCTGTTTTAGTGCAACACACCTATTCAAGGATTCAAAGAAGCCGAGCCTTGTCTGCATGTAGGACTGGGTACCTATACATCACCTCTTTTACTTTCCCACATTCTTTCAAATATTTGAGTTTGCTATGAGGTGCCAGCCCCTGCACTGGCTGCTAGAGATATAGTGGTGAATAAGATAGACAAGATCCCTAGCCCAGAGTCCTCATCTCTGGGCTCTCTAAAGGACAGCTATGGGAGAATGGACTTCATTCTCTGTGGACAGGCTTACCTCTATGTCAGGCCATGAACTTTCTCCTATACCAGCTTACTGTATGTCAGATACTATAATGGAGAAACATACTCTGGGTGATGAGACTGACACAACCAGTTGTTGCCCTTAATGAGCTTATAGCTTAGCAGAGGAATGGAAAAGAATAAAGTATGCCTTTTACTGTGCCATCCTCCAACATGTACATGCACATGTGTGACTGCATACAGATTGTGCCAGCCTTCTTGTTATCTTCCAAACACACAGCCAACCATGCAGACTCTCATGTATGATCTGAAAAACACGCCACTCACAGTACATATTTAGAGGCTTTTTCTGAGAGAAAATGGCCATATGACCTTGTGTATGAGAATGAATACATATGTGCACCCTGGTCAGATGTATCAAGCTTATTAAATACATGTAGTGATGCTTTGTAGAAATAGGACTTAGAGAGTTAAATATGCACATGCGCACACAAACAGGGTACAGGTGCCTGATCTTTCTGCTCTGCTCCCCCTCTCTCATCCTTTGTCTCTGGTTGAGAGTGCTTTCAAAATGCAATGCACTGGGGCAAGGATTCTGCAGGGTGAGCCTCCTTTGAGTGTAGATGAACAGAGGATCTGTACATCACCTCTCAGCTGCTTACTGCATGCCTGCCTGCCCTCTGTCCCTCATTCATTCTTTTCCTTCCACAAATAGTATTCATTAGGTACTGTGCTGAGCATTGGACACAGAAGAGTGAACAAGACAGACCAGGGAGGAGAATGGACTTTATCACCACCCACCACCCCTGCATATACCGAGAGGGAGTGGGCCAGTTTGGGGACTCCTTATCTACCCCCCCCCCGCCAACTTACACACAAGTGTGATACTTCTCATTCCTGATCTCACACTGATATGTGTAGGAGAACCTCTTTACTTTAGTTCCATCCTACGTAGACGTCCTGGGCAAGAACAGTGAGCCTTTTTGTTAAATGCACACACAGAGGGTGCAGGTGCTAGAATCTTCTGTTCTGGCTCCCCCTCTCTAATCCTTGCTACCTGGGTGAGAGTGCTTTCTGAATGCAATGCACCTGGGCAAGGATTCTGAGAGAGGCAGCACCATCTTCAATAGGACAGAGCACCTCTGTGTTTTCCTCTCCTCCTTTCTACAACTACCTGTTGAGTACCTACTCTATTTCAGGTGTTGTGCTCGGTAGCTGGCCTACAGGAGAATGAGCCACATCCGTCCTTGCAGGTTGCAGAATGGACTCCTCATTCATTATTCTCGTATGTCCTGAGGGTGGGTGGGCTGTGCATTGGGACTTGACATGCTCCTCCCATCCTGGTCTCATACCAGATGTGAGTAGGAGAATCTTCTAAACCTCAGTACAATCCCACACTCACTGTGCAGGAGAAGGGCCCAAATGGGTAAACACACACAGACACATAATGCAGAGTGGGCCCCTGACCAGGAGCATCAATTTCCTTCATTCAGTGTAGGTGTCAGTGCTGTCTTGAATCACTGCCCCTGTTCAAGGACTTCAAAGAAAGGAGCCTTGTCTACATTTAGAAGGTTAGAATTCTTTGTGTGGCAACTTTCCCTCCTCTTTTTTCTTCCTTCCACAGATATTTGAGTGTCTACTAGATGCCAGGTACTATGTCAGTCACAGGACATAGTAGAGATCAAAACAAACAAGGTTGCTACCCTTACATTCAGGCGGGAGACTGATGAACACACTATGACACATGGATGCTGTGCACTAATAGGCCGCTGTTCAGAAGAATGAATTGGGTAGGTCTTTATGTTCCTTGCTACCTGTTCTGCGAAAATAAACACATGGAGGTTTTGCTACAGTGAGATTTCTCACCACCCCATTCTCCAGACACACCCAATGACATAGACCTGCATGCAGACACTCCCACCCCAGCAGGCAGACCAGTGATCTTTCCTAACCCTCCCATCAATAGGGGCTAAATGAGGGAGCTCTTCTTACTGCTGTTCTTAGTGCTGCTGTGTGTGAGAGAGATCCTTTTCTTTACCTTTATGTACAGTTACATGTGAACACACTATATGCAGAAAAGTGAGCCTTCCCTGTAAACACACACACACAGCACTCAGGTATAGAAATACAGAAGGTGTATTCTCTATACATGGAGCTGTATCCATGGTGTGCATAGTATATTGAGTGTAATTAGCAGTGTCCTTTTGCCTGTGTCCAGTGTACAGGGCAATGAGCTTTCTACATGGTCCTTCAACAGCTAGAGCTTGAAGGAAACTGGCTCTTATTTCTTGATTATCTCACACATGCATATGCAGAAAGGACACTTCACTTTTGTTTAATCATAGGCAAATCATCTATGAGCAGAAGAATGATGTTTTTTTGTACACACTATACACGTGTGTGCATATGATCTGAAGATGCCTGAGCCTTCTGTTCGGGTCCCTATCTCTCATTCTTGGTAGTTGGGTACAAATGCTGGCCCAGTCCATTGCCTTAGTACAAAAATTCAAAGAGAGGTAATCTCATCCATGTTTAGAAGAGCAGAGAGTCTTTACATTATCCCTTCCATTCTTTTATTTCTTTAATGTTCATTTAGGGTGGTGGTTCTCAAAGTGTGGTTCTCAGCATGAGTATCACCTGGGAACCTGTTAGAAATGCAAATTCTTAGGCCCTGCTCTTGACCTACTAAAGCATGAACCATAGCAGTCTGTATTCTAACAAGCCTTCCAACTGTTTCTGATGTTCACTCAAGTTTAAGAATCACTGATTTAGTGTAAGTGCTGGGACACAGAGATAAGAAAGTCAGGTGGAGGCTCAGCCTATAGAGGGTTGGAAAGGATCAAGTGTCCCCATTTCTCATGCACTACGTCCCTGCAAGGTGCGGGAGGGAGTACGTCTGCTCATTATTCTCCCCACCTCCTCCAGAACCACACACTTGGCCAGCATAGGGAGTTAAGAGAACTCATAACCAAGACTATAAAGAAAGAGCCTTATCATTACTTTTCAAGGCATGCACTTAACACTATAGATACATACACACATACACATACACACGGTGTGCAGAAGAATGAACTGCTCCTTCTCCCATACCCATTGCATATCGGAGTTGTGAATTCTCAAAGCACCTCCTGTGTGCATGGATTACAGGAGAGTGAGCCTTGTCATCATGAACCTTCTGTCAAACAATTCAATCAGCACATATTTATTGATCACTTTTTATGCCATGCACTGTGCTGGGAGTATTCTCGTATTTCTCTCTCTCTCTCTCTCTCTCTCTCTCTCTCTCTCTCTCTCTCTCTCTCTCTCTCTGTCTCTGTCTCTCTCTCCGCCT